TTCTCCCTCTGACCCTCCCCCCTCTCATGTGCTCTCTGTCTCTCTCATTCTCTCTGTCTCAAATAAATAAATAAAATCTTTAAAAAAAAAAAAATCAAGAAGTCATTTAGTAAAGTATTCTTTAGATAGTACCAGAAGAATCACATTAATAAATTTAAGAAGCATATTAATGATATTGTTGCATATATTCCAAATGTCTATAATGCATTCGTTTTGGGAGAAAAAGAGAGGAGGAAAGGCCCATAGATTAAACCTCTCCCTCCTGCCTCCAAAGTATATTGTAGAAAAACCTGAGCTTTCAGAAAATATAGTATCTGAAATCACAATCTTATTTTCTCCATTACAATGGTTGTCATAGGAACAATATAAAACAAATCAATAAAAACTCATAAAAAATGCTATTTCTCAAAATAAATGTCATACTCTGAACAATGCATAAATTCACATAACATCCTCCCTATCAGTTAGATTTGGCATTAGCAGAATTGGATTCTAGCCCACCTCTGCCACCTAGAAGCTGTGACCTGAACCTTTCAATTCAAACAAATAAAAGCTACTCTAAGCCACGTAGTATGCTGGATACTAGGGATACAAACAGAAATAAACATGGTCCATGTCCTCAAATCAGATTAAATGACTCTATCCAGACTTGCTTCTGATTGTATTTTAGTGCTTCAAGAGAAGGAAGGGAAGGGTTACTAACACCGAGCATCTACACTACTGAGTATCTACCCGGTGCTTTACATATACCTTATTTAACAACAATCTTACTAAGTAAATAGTTACGTCTGTCTTACAAAGGAAGAACCTGAGGTGCACAGTTACAAACTTGGTTAAAGTCACCTTACAGAGCCCAAATTAGAACTCAGACTTTTCACCTACACTATGTTATCTAATAAATGAATAGGGCAATTAATTTCAACTTGGGCAACTTTGAAAAGGTCCTTACAGTGAAGGGATTTAAGATAGACCTTGAAGGTTATGACAGAAAAAGCAACTGAGGCAGGGAGAAGAGCAGGAATAGAAGTATGGTATTGAGAGAGTATCAGGTACATTCAAGGGATAAGTAGTCTTGTATGACTAGTATATGGGAAAAAGAACTTCTAAAACAAAAATGAAAAAAGAGGTTGGTGTCAAACCGTGGGCTTCAAAATTCTGCATTCTTCCCTCCAGAGCTCTCTGAGTTATCTTCCACTGACGTTCCTTCTTTATGACTTTAGTATATTGATGTCACTTCATGCAGTCATCACACTTTAATAATGTTTAGTGAATGCTTATTGTGCTTCAGGCACTGTTCTAAGCACTTTGTATGTATTAACTGATTTCATGCTCCTAATTATCCCATGAGGCAGGTACTTTTATAAGCATTAATTTAAAGATGAGACACAAGGAAAAAAATGTACAAAATCAGTCAGTAAGTGACAGAAATGGGATTTAAACCCAGATAACCTGGCTCCAGACCCTGAACTCTTAACCTCTGCTATGCTGCCTCTCCAAAGAAGATGTTTTTGTTTCCCCTATTAAAGTGTGAGTTCCTTAAGGCCCAGAATGAAAATTGTTTTTGTTGTTGTTGTCAGGAGGCAGGGGAATAAAGAGAGAGGAAGCCAGACAATCTCAGCATGTAGGACAATTCCTGGTACAAAGTATGTATTCATAAATACTTGCTGAGCTGAACTGGCCTTGAATTTTTTTTTTTTTTTAAGATTTTATTTATTTATTTGACAGAGAGAGAGATAGCGAGAGCAGGAACACAAGCAGGGGGAGTGGGAGAGGGAGAAGCAGGCTTCCCGCCGAGCAGGGAGCCCAATGCGGGACTCGATCCCAGGACCCTGGGATCACGACCTGAGCCGAAGGCAGACGCTTAACGACTGAGCCACCCAGGCGCCCCGGCCTTGAATATTTAACTAAAGTCCAGATTGCTTTCCCTATGGGTCAGGGGCCAGCATATTTTCTGCAAAGGGTCAGATAGTAAATACTTTAGGCTTTGCAGGCCATAAGGTCTCTGTCACAATTATTCATGTCTGCCTTTACGGCACAAAAGCAGCCAGACAATTCTCAAATGAGAATGGCTATGTTCCAATAAAACTACTTAAACAGGCAGAAGGCCACCTGGCCCATGGGCCCGTTTGCCGATCCCTGCTACAGGTGATAGAAATATATCAAAGGTTTCTAAACAAGAGGAGTAAAAAGGTTGACAATGGTTTTAAGAAGATAACTGTGATGGCAATATAATGAAATGGAGAAGAACTAGGAGTTCCAATATTGGAGTAAGAAATGATGCTCCCCCCTTTATATTTCTATAATTATTCTAGAACACTGCTGTCCAACAGAGATACAATGGAGGCCACAAATATGAACCAAATATGTAATTTCAAATTTTCTAGAAGCCACATTAAAAAAAATTAAAAGGAACAGGTAAATTAATTGTAATATTTTCTTGAATATATCCAATATGTCAAATATAAATTTCCCAAGTTTATGATATTCAGAATATATTTATTAACATTTGTTATGTTAGTAATTTATACCCAACATTATATTCAATATATGCAAAATAGTGTCATCTTTACAATCAACATAAAAATTGAGATATTTTACATTCTTTTTCCTAGTAAGTCTTCAAAACTCAATGCGCATTTTAACTCTTACCACACCATCAATTCGAATTAGCTCCATTTCAGAAGTCCGATAACCATATGTGACTCTCATACTGGACAGCACAAAAGAATGACCAACTCAAATACCCTACAGCATCTCCACATGCAGCTGCTAGCTTTGTATCATCTCCTTGCCTGGCTTGCGGATTGATGTTAAACCTAATTCTGAACTATATACTAGCTACACATTACTCAATAAAGCAATGCCTTCATTTTTAACGTCACATTTCCACACCTTTTAGTTTTCACAGACATTTTCAGATTTGATCCTCATATTATGTATGTAGTACCTTATGTCAGTTTTACAAATGAGGAAACAAGAGTCAGCTACTGATTGGCGGAACGGAGACAAAATCAAAACCTCCTGACTTCTATTCAAATCTGTTAAGCCCCAACAGCACCACCACCTTTGTCAAAGTCGTAATTTTGTGTTTTTATGTGAGACTGGCCTTTATTTCCTCCTCCACTGGACTGTAAACCCCACGAAAACAAGGACTGTTCTTCCTGATCACTATATCCCCAGTACCCAGCAAGGTGTTTTGCCATAAGCAGTATTTGTTAAATGAATGAATGAATGAAATTTATCATTTCCTCTACTGTTTTTAGTCGATGATAATAATAATAAACGTAATTTATTTTTAGTGACTAATGTAAAGGCACTACACCATAAAAACTTTTTTAAGCTGAAGCTTAAATTTACTTCCAATATAATTCAAAGAAGAGCGAAAAAAGGGCTGGGAGCCAAGGCCAGAGTTCTTGCGTCGGCCCTGCAGTGAACTTGTTCGGAGTTCTCGTGTAAATTACTTCACTTCTCCGGACAAAATTAACTTTCTCTGTCAAAAACAAAGAGTACAACTATAATCTCCACGATTCCGTTCAGAACTAAAAAATAAAAAAATTTTTTTTTTTTTTTTTGAAATTAACTTGACGCGGGTCAGCTTTCCATTTGCTCATACTCTCCCTCCTGTGCCCTCCGCAACCGCCAACTTGGTGAGAGAGGTAACATTAGGTTCCAGGTGGGACTCTCTCCGCGTCCCGGGACGCCGGCCGCACACCCAGCCGCAAGCCGGTGTCCACTGGCCAGAGCCGCCATCTTCCCCCCTCCCCCCGCCTTGGCCGGACCCCAACCGCCACCCGCGGGCACGGGGTAACCAGGAACCTCACCTCTCCTCACAGTCTTTGCATTTCACCTGCAGCGGGACTAGCTCCTGGAACAGAACCTGGCTCATGTTGGTCCGCTGCCCCTGCCAGTAAGCGGAAAAGTCCAGCAGGCCCAGCCCACGGAACTAGCCTAAAGGAGTCCCGGTCCTGCTAAAATTTGAGTTTGGCGCTCGGCTTCCGCTGAGGAGGCGGGGAAACAGAAACAGAGGGAAGGCGGGGGAGATTTGAACCCCGTCAGCCACCATCAGTTTCTTCCGGTTTTGCAGAGGATGGGGAGGCAGTTCCGGGCATTAACCTGCGTGGCGGGACGCGCGGCAGCCATATTTGTTAAGGGAAAGGGGACCCGAGGGGAGCAGAGAACTTTTCTTCTCTTCACCAGATGCTTGCCACCTCAAACGAAGCCTGAATTATGGCGGCTTCTGCGCCGGCCCCGCACACGGCTGACTTTCCGGCTGAGGGTCGGTGCAGTTACTACGTGGAAAAGAAGAAGCGGTTCTGCAGGATGGTGGTGGCGGCAGGGAAAAGATTCTGTGGGGAACACGCTGGAGCCGCGGAGGTCTGGTATTGCCCTACCCTGTGGAGAGTTGGAAATAAGTTTCTTGGTCCGGCAACTCCCCTCTGACAGATTTCTGCTTCTGTTCCCTGGATTTTCCAGCTTTTCCTGTACTAAGCGCAGCCCTGCCCTCCCTAGGGAGCGATGATGAGCCGTAGCGAAGTGCAGTGTTTCTCGCACTAAATAGAGCGCCAGCAGTGACCCGTTTATTTTGATACTAACTCATGGTAATGGTAGACCTAAGTTTTACTCCAAACTACCGCCTCATACTCCGCCCAGCCTCCCCCTTCCCGATGAGAAAAGGTAGTTTAGAAAGAATAGTGATCAAAGATCCCAAGGTTTCACTAATTGTGTTCTGATTGTTTTGTGAATAATAAGAAACTTTTAAAAAATTTTATTTAGACGTGCAACTCTTTAACTATAGAGAACAACATGGTTACCAGAGTGGGGAGGGAGGGACTGGGTGAAATAGGTGTTGGGGATTAAGGAGTGCTCGTGTGATGAGCACGGAGTGATTAAAAACTTAAAAAAAAAATTTAGAGTACAGTCTTTTGAAAGCAACTTGTAACTGCTGAAAGGAGGAAGGAAAGATATAAAATCATGTGAGAATTGACTTTCCTTTTAAAATTGAAAACAGGAGGCGTACAATTTTGTTTGAGAATACTGTTTGAGAATACGTATAATTGTACTGTCAATATAGAGTTGACCCTTGGGACGCCTGGGTGGCACAGTCGGTTAAGCGTCTGCCTTGGGCGGGGGTCATGGTCCCAGGGTCCTGGGATTGAGCCCCCCATTGGGCTCTCTGCTCCTTGGGGAGCCTGCTTCTCTCTCTCCCTCTGCCTCTCTCCCAGCTTGTGCGCGCTCTCTCTCTCGCTCTCAAGTAAATCTTTAATAATAAAAATACATACAGTTGACCCTTGACCACATGTTTACATGGATTTCATAAACACAGCACAGTACTATGAATGTATTTTCCTTAAGACTTTCTTAACACTTTAGCTTTATTGTAAGAATATAGTGTGTAATACATACAACAAAAAATATACATTAATCAGCTGTTTATGTTAGCAATAAGTCTTCAGGTCAACGGTAGACTATTAGTTAAGTCAAAAAGTTTTTATTTATTATTGTAATTTATACCCAACATTATATTCAATATATGCAAAATAGTGTCATCTTTACAATCAACATAAAAATTGAGATATTTTACATTCTTTTTCCTAGTAAGTCTTCAAAACTCAATGCGCATTTTAACTCTTACCACACCATCAATTCGAATTAGCTCCATTTCAGAAGTCC